TTAACTTGGAAGAAAGAGTATTTGTCTGTTTAGTATATTGGCATAATTTTAAATTTGCCTTGATTGCATTCATAGATGTGTCGCGATACATAGTGTTTTCTGTTGTCGAGTAATTTGATGTTGCTTTTCTGAATGGCAACTCTGTGGTTCAGTGCTTGGCTGATGCCTATATATGACTTCTTGCATTTTGTGCATTTGAGTGCATAGATCACATTTTTAGAGTTGCAGTTTAAATTTTTGTTTATTGTGAATGCAGTTATTTATTGTTATTTATAGTTATTGTGAATTAAAGGCGCAGGAGTTTCCTTCGATAATGACATCACAAAACCCCACATCTTTTTTTGTTGCATTTTTGACCCCCTGTATATTGTGTTGGTTAAATTTGGATGAGGCTAATATATGTTTCAGGTTTTTAGATTGGCGTTTGCTTTTAATTATTTTGGCTGTTTTTCACATATTCTTCATTTTTGTTAAGTAGGTCTAGATTTCTTTGAATTTCCGTAAAAAAATATATATATATATATATATATATATATATATATATATATATATATATATATATATACCCTACACGCAAGTCACCTATCTGCCACTGAGTGGCATGTCAATAGCGTTTACCGCTGGTAACACGGTCGGACAGCCGGCGTGTTCATCTAGGCAATGTTACCAATGCCGGACCACTAGAGGCCGACCAGTCGGTGTCACCAGAGGATCACTGACGTTGCCATCGACGGCCCGCTAGCGGGCCTCTAGCGGCTTGCGTGTAGGACATAAATCGAGTTTACCTTGCATATATATAAGATTAATACAAATATAAAATGTGTCATTTAGCTGATTGATGTTATATTCCAGAGTTTCGTAGATGAACCTTTGTGTAATCATTCCATTCATTCGTCAGACGGTATCAGGAATTGTCTGCGGATTTTTTCAATTTCGTTTTTATATTAAATTAGAAAAAATTTTTTTATTGGTGTTAAGTAGACTTTTTCTTCTATGTGTCTGGGTGTGTATTTGTATGTGTATTTTCGCAAGTTTGTATATGTCTCTGTACACATGTAAATGTGTGTTTGTGCACAAGTGTATGATGTCAGGGTTATTCCGTCCTTTTATAATTTTTTGTCTCCTTACGCGCTTTTATTCATTTTCTTTCTTTTTTTCTATCTTTTGACTATTATATATATATATATATATATATATATATATATATATATATATATATATATATATATATATATACACACGCATATATATATATATATACACACACATATATATACTCTCACATACACTCATACACACACGCATATATATAAATACACACGCACATATATACACACACATATATATACACACACATATATATACACATATATATACACTCACACACAGATTCATAGACACACACGCATATATATACACATATATATATGTACTCTTACACACATACACACACGCATATATACACACACATATATATACACTCATACACACACGCATATATACACACACACACACACACATATATATATAAATACACACGCATATATATACACTCACACACACACATATATACACTCACACACACACGCATATATATACACAAAGATTTACATACACACACGCATATATATATACACACACAGATATATATACACTCACACACGCACTCATACACACACACGCATCCCCACACACAGACACGCACAGACACACACACACACACACATATATATAATTATTTATTTAAAAATATGATTCCAAACATACATAAGCGTTCTCATGTTTCAAAACAAGAGCCGAAAACTTCAATATAATTATTTGAATTAAATAGAATTAAAGTACCAATCTCTGTTCCATCTTCAAGCGAAAATACACTTTTTTTTTTCAATCATTTTGCTCCAAGCAAGGCGATAATGTCACTAGAACACAGAGGGTTACAGTAAGTGAAGGAAAATGAGAAAACTGAGAATGGGAAGGATTTAGAAAAAGATTAAAAAAGTTTCAGGTTTCAAGAAAACAGAAGATGGCGATTAACCTTGCATTTAATTATTTCAAGATTATAGTTATGGGGGAAGCAAGATATAGGAAGAGAGTTCTACAAGTTGTAAGTAAGAGTAGAATTAGTAGTGGTTACATCTTGCTAGCTTAATAGTAAAAAAGTGAGACCTAGTTGCCAATCTAGTAGCACACTTAAATTCATGTTGTTGAGGAACCAGAACAATTAACATGAAAATATTGTAGAAAATACAAAGAGAAGCCACGTCACGTCTATGAGAAGTCGATAAGCCTGGTCTGGATCGTATATATTATAAACCCTTCTTTGGATTTTGTCAAGAACATCAAGATGAATAGCAAGAGCGTCGACCAGATATGGCAACAGTATTCTATGCACGGACGAATGGTAGATTTGTAAATATACAAGAGGGGTTCTGAAGAGAAAAATATTCTGCCACAACACAGTGTCCCGATTTTCCTTGCAGTAGACGAAGCAATTGATTCG